GTCCTGATTTTATAGGGACGAGTCCCGACATGTGGGGCTTTATACAGGTGCCTGTTGTCCCCAAGCCCCGGGGGCCACCTGGCAAAGCAGCCAGCCTAGAAGAGCGAGCTCCCTCCCTTGGGAGAGAACAGGGCAGCGTGAAAAAGCCGGCGGAGCCCCGCGCATGCGCCACAGCTGACTCGGGGACTCGGTCTCAGAGAGGCGAGCCGGGAGGGACACGGCAGCTGGCGGACGCTCCCCGCGAGGGACACGCTGTGCGACGACGAAACCTGCCCCCTCTACAACAAGAGGCGCTGCGGAATCGTTCCGTCTCTTTTAACGGCCCGGGGGAGGGGGGAACGCGCCCGCACTGTGCGAGCAGCTTCTCCCGGCTCAGGGGCCCGGAAGCTGCCTGGGTGAAAATGTCCCGCTGAAGCGTCCTGGGGTGGGGGGAGGGGTGCAGCAGGCTCTCCTCTAAAAACAGCTCCCCAATCCCACCCACACTCCCAGCCAGGCCTGGGTGGGGGTTGAGTGCGGCATGTGCCACGGAAAGTTAAACTTCTGCTGTTCAGCCACCAGGGGGCGCGGTATCGTGCCGGGCAGAGCATCGCAGGCTCCGTCGGAACGCACCTGGTACAAAGCCAGCACGTAGCCCCTGCATAATTGTGTGGCAATATTATTCCAGTAGACGAGTCCCTTGGTTACTGTTTGCTGGACACTGTATTGCATGGGAAAGCCGCTGTTACCGTCTCTGTAAAGTGGGGAAGAACAAATGAGCCAGAGTTGTAGTCTGCACTCCCCCCCCCCCCCCCCCCCCACCCGCACCCACAGCGTTAAGAACTAAAATAGTCTCTCAAATACTAGGCAAATCAACAAACTCCAACTTTGACCTTCTGCAGAGAACAAAGGTTTGAAAGTGCCGATGCAGTCCCATTATCTTCTAAGGGTAAGTTTATATTCTGCAAAGCGACAATGTCAGTATGCAACAGTCGTGATATTTTTTCCAGTTTTAATGCTGTGGTGCTCTCAGCACTTCAGTTATTTCCAATTTTATGTTCACAATACTGTGGTGAGGTAACAAATTACTGTAATCTCCGTTTTGTAAATGAGGAACAAGAAAAGTGATTTGCTCTCATCTCCTGAATCCTACACTGATGTACTTTAATCACAAAACTCTCCACAACAAGCATTGCAGTTTTCCTCAAGAACTTTTTAGGTTTGGAATTGCAAGGCCACCTATCGACTCAATGTATTGAGCCTTATATGTGGATTTTGGGGATTCTCAAGAGAAGCTCAGAAGAATACACACAAATCACATTCCTGTCTTTCAGTGGAGGTGGATTTTCCAGTTGAATAAAACAACTGTTTACTAGAAGCATCAACATGCACAATAAAAGTCCCTATGTTGATCTTGTGTTAAAAGATGTATGTAATAATTTTTAGGCATCATTCAGAAGCAAGGTCACACTGGAGACTTAAACAAATCACTGTATGCTTTCTAAGAAGACGACAGTCATATTTCAATAATAGTTTGCACCTCTGATGCACCCAAGGATCTCTACTATGCAAACGAGTAAGGAATACAGGAATTGCCACATCCTTCCAGACTATTGTTCCATTATTCTGATATCATGTCTGGTGCTCATAAATGGCCAATACCAGATGTTCAGAATAAAGTGCAAGGAATACCACGGTTGAAAATTACATAATAACTTGCCCCAGGGGAAGAGTTTCTTCTTAAACTTAGTAGTTAGCTTATTCTGTAAAGGAGGAGATTAGATATCCTAACACTTTTATCCTACTTTATACAACTACGAATGTTCTTACCATCCATTTTTAATCTTAAGTACTTGTCCTCAGTGATATTTTGTTGGTAATGAGTTCCACCCATACCCCCTAAAAACACATCCCAGTTTTTAACATCTTTGGATAAAACAAATAGAATCATTAGTGCATGCTGTTGTTTTCCTCAGATAGATGACAACCAAGTGGGATAGTTAAAGATGCAAGGCCAAGCAGGCTGTGGAGTTTGCAGTAAACTGTTTTATTACTATTAGAATTCTGAAGGCTGTGTAAGTCAATAGTGTTAAACTAACAGTTAGTTTGGACCAGAGTTATTTCTTTAAAAACTGACATGTTGTGAACTGGTTTTACAAGTGATGGATGCTGCTTTATAGTAAACATTTCTAGAAGCATTAGGTCAGAGACATCTAACCTACAATATGAATGAAAACATTTAAAAGGGAAATAAATCAATCCATGCAGTTGATGGGCTCTTAACTCAGAAACAGGAAACCTTGATTTAAATAATCAGTTACAGTCTTGTTTTGTATTTACATTTTTTTAGTTATTTTTCCTCAAGAAAAGCTGGTTTGGACTGGTTGGTAATCCCTGGGGGGGAAAAAACTATTTTAAACTAAATATAACCTTTACAAAAAAATTTAAGATGGGGGGGGGGGGTTGTACTAAACTAGGCCTCTGTGTGTGTGTTTATACACAAACACACTTATTTTAACAATTATATAGCTTAATATACCTGTATTCAGTGTTTATTTTTACATTTATGTTAATACATCATTCATCCTTTTCTATTTACCAGTTAATTTAACTTGTGGTTTGTGTCAAGATTCATTTTGCAATAATGTATCAAATAGCTGAATGCATTACATTTAAACTGAGAAGCAGCTTGCATGAATGACTTCTCACCAAAGGTTTATCATAAACTTTTAATGCCTACAAAAAAATGCACATCACAAAAATTCATTTGTACTTCATCTACTAAAGCTGCTGCTACATAATTTGCCTGTTTTCAAGAAACAAAATTCAGATTGGAAGTTGCATGCTCATAGTTCAAATGTAACAGACAAAAGTTAGAAGAAACATCTACATCCAAATCATTATTAAAATGTATCCTAATTGTAATGTTTAAGTCATCACCAACATATACCATGCTATAAAATGCCCTTTTAAAAAGTCAAATGCAAGCAAATTATTGTATCCTCATTTTCTAGTAGGAAGTTACAGTGACAATTTCCCAGAGAGATTAGAGGTTTCTAAACTAAAATATGTTCCAACAGGTCTCAAAGTAAATTTTTTTTGTGTAGAAAATTTTTCTAGGAAGTTTAGAAAGATAAATCACTATGATAAAAAAGTGTTACGATACAATTTTTGTACATGTTAAAAATAAAATCTTTTCTTTAGGCCCAGCGCACAAATTTAGATTTCCCAAGGTTAGGGAATTACTAAGAGAACTCTCCTTTTCAGCTTTTGGGATATATTCGTCTCTTGATACATATGAATTATGTATGTAAGCCCCATATTCATGAAGATAACAATGTACTACTTCACAATGTAACAAGCGTGCAAGTAAGAACTCCTTTCAATTTTGAGTTTCTCAAATTGAAAAATCTGTACTCATCTATTTGATGCGATATTTTTAACAAGGTATAAAGATGAAATGGCGTGAGGAGTCATTGAGAAGTGTTGCAATTTGAGACCTTTTAGTCTCCCTTCACTCCCATGTGAACATAGAGAGAATTTCAGTAGTAGTTTTTGACAGGTGTCCAAAAGAATGTTCACTTAATACATGGGTCTGCTATTGCTTAGTCCCACATGGAAACAAACAAAAAACAAAATTAAAAATCCTGCTTTGTTTTTCCTGGGAGATCAGTACTAGTCTGAGACATTGTCTAAAAAGCATATTTCCCTGTTCAAACAAACAAGCCTATTTCTGTAAAAAAGGAGATTGGACTATAACCCACAGTGCTACTAATACCCAGATATTTTAGATCTTCATGAGAAATACACCAGTTGTACTGTATCTTTATATATTATGTATGGCACATTAATCCTATATGGGCAAAGTTTATTTTTAATTAAAAATATACTGTATATAAAACATTAGGAAGATACTTGGAAACTTGTACCAGACAAAGTTTATATTTTTGACATTTAAAAATAGGACTAATTCACTATAATAGTCTCAAATACTATCATTATATATTTGATTAATTCTGATCAAGATAGAAACATTTTACATTGAATATTTCAGCACTCATCTCCAATAATGTGAGAGATGCAAAATAATGTGTGTACATTGTGTAGACTTCTAGAAGCTTATTCCTATATCAAAGGTCCAATTCAACAGTCTCTGCAAGACCTCAGTGACTTTATAGGGCCTGCTCCAAAGCCCATTCATGACAGTATGGCTGTGTCTACACTACACCCCTTTTCCGGAAAAGGGATGCAGATGAGACAAGTCGGAATTGCAAATGAAGCGGGGATTTACATCT